CGATGTGCTACGAGGAACATTGGCCGGGCGAACTCCAATCAAGCCTGTGTTAAAGAGGGTTTAGGGTTTAGGGTTCCCAAAAGCGGGTTCTGCCACACTTTTTCAGAGCTGTTAGGGCTTAGGGTTTGGGGTTTAGGGCTTAGGGCTTAGGGTTTGGGGTTTAGGGCTTAGGGCTTGGGGTTTGGGGTTTAGGGTGTAGGGTTTCTTAGGGTTTGGGGCTTGGGGCTTTTTTGAAGGTTTCATACAGGCTTCTGGGTTGGGGGCTCTGTGAAGGACTCTCACAGACTGTTGGGGTTTTGAGGGCCTTGGGCTCTTGTCACATAGACGCGTACATAATATTACATAATTATCTAAACTACTTTTAATTTTGGGGTTCCTTATTGTAAGTATAGTAGAATATACTCCCCAAACCCTAGTCGCCCTAGTCTAGTGAATCAGGCCCCTCCCTTGGGGTGTGTTGGGTAGCCTAAACCCTAAACTCTAAACCCTAAGCCTAAACCCTACGGTGTTGGGGTCTCTACGTGAAGGTTGTAAGTGCGCTATAAGTGGGGTTCGCATAATGTATGGGGGCTTAAGTAATTACCAATACAAATTTGGGGGTAGAATTATAGTATAGTGGGCCCCAAAACCCTATTCTAATTATTCAGGCCCCGACATTAATGAAGACCTCCTTGATGGCCTACTTGCCAAGTCCCGCGGAGTTTTTGGGGTGAAGGCAAAAGCCAGGTTTTGGGACTTGTTCGTGTGTATGTGCGGGGTTTAGATTTATATATTTTCTGGCAAGCAGGAGCCTTCTGTCCTTGGTGAACAGCAATGCATTCGTCCCATTCTTTTGGGAAGCAACCACTTGCTCCTCATGCACGTGCATGAAGCCCCAACCTAGCCGCCGTTAGCTGCCCGCTGGATCCATCCAGTCTTCATTCGTTGAGACGTCCTGTGCCCTAGGGGTCGCGCAGGCACCCACACCCATATGTTTGACCAAGGTGGAGAGTCAAGCAGTTTCATGTCGCTTCTTTGTGCCGGCTCAAGCCAAGCACTTGTGAATAAGTCTAGGGTTTAGGCTGTACCGGTGCAAAGAGTGTTCTCAAAACCAGATTGGCGCAGCTTTTGTTGGTTGATGGCAGCGTGGCAGACAAGCTTCGCGCCAAAAGCCGAAAGGTAGAAACGATGAGTACGACTGCTAGGAAGAGCAGCGTTTGCAGCATTGAGGATTTCAAGTTGCCAATCAAAGGGACCTTCAGATCCCATCCAGGTGGCCAGGAACATTTGAAGACTGCGGCGCAGTCCCAGTGTCCGGCCTTGCTTTTCTTGATCTACCATATGGGCTGCGATTTGGATGGAAGGATCGCCGGCGTGCTTAAGGCGAAAGGACTTGAGATGCCAGAATATGGCGACCTCTTCGCCGATATTCATGCTCTTGTCCGTAAGGTGAAGGAGGAGCACAAAGATCAACATTGGGTCTTTGTGGTCTGGAGTGTCATCATAACGGCAGGCCTCTTTACAGTTTTCCCATGGTTTCTCCTCTGTCCGAGTGTCGCCGCAAGTATCTTTGCGTCATTCCTTTTTGAGGTTTATTTCCTGAACATCTTTCACACCCGTCACCACAAGGGCGGAAAGCTCTACGATATTCCATGGCTGGACAGACTGACAGCACCTCTCTATGAGGTGGTGGACAACATCTGGGGCTACCATCCAGCAGCATGGCGGAAGAATCATCATGTCCACCACCACATGAACACCAACGCGAACTGCGATCCTGACATGCCAGCCATGTATCCTTTGATCAGGTTGTTTCAGAGTCAGGAGAGGCGGTGGTTCCATGTGGCCCAGACATTCTACTGGCCGCTTCTGCTTCCATTTTCGGTGACCAGGTTTCCTCTTCAGAACGTCTTCGTGCATGGAGGCCCTTGGAGATACTTTGTGCTTTGGATAGTGCTGATGTGGGTATTGCCGTCTCTGCACGGTTTGACTGGCCTACGTGCTACGCTTTTGGTACAAAGTTTGACTGGCTTGACCATTACAACCAAGTTTGCCGTGTCCCATTCCCATGCTGACCTCGTAGCTCACAGCTCAAGCGATGCTGATTCACTCTTGACCACCAAGCACACAAAGATTGATGCTTGGATGGCAAACCAAATCGAGGAATCCATGAGTTGGGGTGGCTACTGGATGACAGTCATCTTTGGTGGCATCAACATGCAGATAGAACATCACCTGGCACCAGCACTTGACCCACCGCTTTTGTGGTTCATGGCAGGCGGTTTGAGGAAGATCTGCAAGGAGCACAACCTCCAGTATACGCAAGAGCCTTCGCTCTTCAATGCTATGGTTAGCCTCCACCGTCGGCTCTGGATGATGGGCATCGACACCAGATGAATGATCAAATGATCATGAACGCTAGCTACGGCAGCGCAACCACTTCTTCTGCTCGGGCTGTTTGTTACGGCCATACAAATGTCACATGAAAGATAAAAAGCTGCCAACAAACGTGTGCTTTATCAGCCTACATATGCCCTTTAAGGGATTCTATAGGGTACTTCATTCCCGTCCATATACATCTTCTGCGATCAAGCACTAAGACCCAGAACCCGAGGCGCACGAAACGACGGCTGCCCTGTCTAGGCCTGATCCATGAGGCTACACTTGGAGGATCATGGGTAGTTATAAGTATGGCTATAAGTCCCCTAATATGGGTTATAACTATAGTTACCTTACTTATAACCCCACTTATAACTATAGTTACCTTACTTATAACCCCACTTATAACTACCCATGAACCTCCAAGCAAGCCCGAAGCCGAGCCCGGACCCGAACTCCAAAGCGCCGTGGACCCTTGCACCCGAAGTCGTCGATCCTGTCTTGACCCTAAAGCCTATAGGGTTTAGGGTTTGAAGCCCAATAATTAACCCTAAACCATGAAACTCTTGGGTTTAAAGGTATCCTACAGAATGAACGCTGAGAGGTGCACCTGCTGGACTCGGGCTTCTCGGCGACGCCAGATGTCCCGTGGCAGCTTTCGATGGCAGGTTCAGGGTGAAAGGGAGGTGTTACATGGCCACGGGACGTCTTTCTCAAGGCTGTGGCGGCATATCATCTGCAGAGTCGATGGTTTAGTGCTGAGGGCGGGATCAGGGCCTATCTTCTTATCTTCCTCACGCTTTACGGTTCATGTGGGTACATGCGGGTGGTCGGGGCTGCCTCTGGGGGCTGAGGGCACATGGGGTGGTGGTGTCGCCACATGATGTTGGGCTGTTCATTGTCCCCTGAGTCTAAACTTCTTTTGTGTAAAACTGACAGGGATGGTTTATGTATGACGTGTAGTGGCTGCTTTATGTGGCAGTTCTTTGCTCTTGGCGGTATTCTCCGCCTGCACTACGCTGGTATTTTTACTTTCTTAGTTGCCTCTGTCGGCAGTATCTTACGGTCTTTTCCTTGCTGCATTGTTTTTTCGCTTTTTTCGGCGATGCTGATTCTGGGCATGCTTACGATATACGTTGACTGGCAATGTGATATTCCTTTTGGCATGGCGCAGGTTGGAACAGATGGCCCTTAAGATCAATATAGGTCCGGTCCTATTGCAATTTCGGCACGGTTAAGGGTTTAGGGTTTAGGGGGTTTTGGCGTTTAGGGTTGAGGGCTCATGGTTACTATACATCAGTAGATGCCGCCGTTCTTGCAACTGCTGCAGTCTTTACTTCTCCTTCATAGCCATACCCATAGGCCCTACAGTAGTTCCTTTTTGGGGTTCATATTTAGAGTCCTATTAGGGAATCCCAATACTATTTTGGGGCTCCCCTTCGTCTAGTTATAGTATAATGGGCCCCAAAGCCCTATTAAAATTTTTGAGGCCCCTACAGCCTGAAGCGCAAGCATGAACCCACGAAACGACCTATAAAGACCCCTTTAGCAACCCCGCGCCGCTCCGAAAAGAGCCCTTGAGGGAACGGTAAATCGAAAACAAGTAGGAAATACATCTCCTGAAGGATCCTTCTTCACCCTTCCCAGGGAGACCTTATCAAGGATTAACAGCCCTGACAAAGGAACCCTCATGAAGGAAGCCTTCTTGCGCAACCCGAAACCCAAAGCCCTTAAACTCTCTTGAAGAACCCGGAACGCTCACTCAGGAGCGCTGTAACAGGAGCCCGTAAAGGACCCTGATGACGGAGCCCTTGCTATCGAGGAACCCTTCGTAAGGAGCCCTCAGTAAGGAGTCCTTGTCCAGCAACTTTTGGAATCCCAATCCGCTTGAAAGGAACCCGGAACCCTTCTGAACGGAAGCCTTCTTGACCCCTAAACCCTCAACCCTAGACCTTCATTACATGTCCCTTAGGATGCCCCCCCAAAAACCCTAGACCCATAGACCCAAAGCCTTAAACCCTCAACCCTCAAAAATGGTTCCTTGCGAAGCAGGAAGCAGACCCTAAACCTTTGACCCCGTATTTTGTACCCTAAACCCTAAACCCTAAACCCTAAACCCGAAACCCTAAACCCTAAACCAAAACCCTAAACCCTAAACCGTTTGTGCACCCCAGGATCCCTCCCCCAAGCCCAAGCCCGGAACCCTTATATACCATGCATCCCTGGTGTGCCCTACCCTCAGTTACTAAACCCGAAAATCCGTAATGTAGGGGCCTTAATAATTAGAATAGGGTTTTGGGCCCCGTTATAGTATCATTCATAATAAGGAATCCCCAAAATAGTCTTGGGGCAGTTATGAAGGCACCTGAAATCCTTATCATCAGGATCCTTTATTTGTAGTTATGAAAGCCCCTATAGAATCCTTATCATAAGGATCCCTCCTGGCCGAACCTCCTAAACCCTAAACCCGAAACCCTAAACCCTAAACCTTAAAACCCTTATCATCAGGATCCCTTCTGGCCGAACCTCCTAAACCCTAAACCCTAAACCCTGACCCCTAAACCCTAAACCCGAAAATCCTTATCATCAGGATCCCTCCTGGCCGAACCTTTGGGGCATGGCCCGCGTGGATGTGGAGCGGGCCTGGGCGCGAGTGCAGGAGCTCGGGGTGCAGAGCCAGGAGGCCGCGGATTTTGTTTGTTTAGGGCTTAGGGTTTATAGGGTTCAGGGTTTAGGGCTTAGGGTTTATCGGGTTTAGGGCTTAGGGTTTATAGGGTTTAGGGTTTAGGGCTTAGGGCTTAGGGTTTGGGGTTCAATATAGGGGTCTCTGAATAATTACCAATAGTAACATGGCTTTGGGGTTCAATATAGGGGCCTGAATAATTACCAACTCTTGTTTCTAAAAACAAAACACCCCACGATACACTCCGAAGCAAGAGGGACGGAGCCCCTAAAACGCCCTTCCTGGGGAAGGTGGTGGTGGCCGTGATCGACTCGGGGATACAGCTCGACCATCCAGTCGCTTGATTTTCTTTTGGAAGAAGGAGGCTTCATTTCATATCGTTACAGTATAGTTACTCTACACTCTAAACCCTAAACCCTCAACCCTAAAACCCTAAAACCCTAAACACGAAACCCAATTATAGATCGCATCTGACTCGGCAACGGTTTCATGGAGCTTCACGGATCTTGCTCGAGTCTGAACCCCGAGCACCTGGTACTTATCCACGGGGAACTAACCTCGTTAGGGTTTCGGGTTTAGGGTTTAGGGATATAGTTAGTGATTTCGTTCTGTGTTTGGCCTTGTTCAGAGAACGGGTGCGACACGTCGGCGCGATTAACGCAAGCCTGTGCAAAAAGGGTTTAGGGATACTCGGATGTTCATGGGTAGTTATAAGTACGGTTATACGTCCCCTAATATGGGTTATAACTACTGCGCCGGTCCGAAAGTTCG